GTGCGGTCAGGGAGTGCGATGTGTGGTCAGGGAGTGCGACGTGCGGTCAGGGAGTGTGACGTGTGTTTACCGTCCTGCGGCGGCTCCATGGGGCAGTCGTCTGAGATCAGGCGCCAGTACAGCTTGTAGAACTCCACGGTGTCGTCGGAGAACAGACTCCAGCACACGTGCAGCGACGTGTCCGTGGCCGAGTTACAGATCTGGGGGTTCATGACCGGAGCCGATGGAGCTGGACACACACACACACACACACACGCAGGCTTATGTCCTACAGTATCCTGTGGATCAAAAATACATTCATTTGTGTTCTGAAGATGAACGAAGATCTTATGTGTTTGGACCGACGAGTAATTAATGACTGAGTTTTCTTGTTTGACTGAACTATCCCGTTAGTGTATGTTTTTAAGCACAACTTGGACATTTTATTTGCATCTTCTTGTTTCCATCCAGCCTTTCTTACAGTAAAAATGAAACTCAGCAAATATAAAAGAGGAGTAATGATGTCTGACCTGGAAGCACGTTTATGGAGTCCATCATCTGTCGGACATCGGACAGATCCGTCGTCGGAACATCAAAGTCCAGAGACACTCCCAGCTTCAGATCCACTTCCTTACTGGAAAACTGCTCCACTCTGATTGGACAGAATATGACGGATAATTCCAGATTGCTTTCCTCATGTCTGTGTTAGCTGTGATCAGGTACGCCACTGTCAGTCCAGATGTAGATCTGCACTTTGAAAGCTCAAAATACGAACTGTTGACATCTAACGTAGTAATGAATGTCAAGCCTCAAATGTTCTTGGTTTGCATGTGACCAACCGTGACGCGGCAGGTTTGAATATGACCAACACGCACACACACACACACACACACACACACACACGCACACACACGCACACGCAGCTGCTCGGTTATGGGACTCCATGAAGCTCTACTCACTATTCTTGAGCTCTGAAGGCCACAGAGGTTTGGAGGTCTGTTGGCTCCTCATGCGTTGACCTGCTCTGGGATTATAAATGATCGAACACTTCGTCGCTGAGTCGCTGCTGTTCCCAATCGCTTTCACTTAAAATACCACTAACAGTTGACCGTGGAATATTGAGTAGTGAGGAAACTTTCCAAATGGACTCATTGCACAGGTGGATCCGATCGCGGTCCCACACTTGAGAGGTTCTTCAGGTGTGTGTGTGAGAATATAGTGTATAGGCAAAGGTATAGGCTACTACGGTTTATTGTTAACATGTCAAAACAAATGCTGATTTTTGGTGTTATTCTTTTTCTTATTTCTGTTAAACATCAATAAAAAGAGTTTAACTGAACATGTTTTGTATTCCGCAGAAGAAGGAGAGTCACACTGGTTTGAAAGCACATGTAGTTGAGTAACTGATTATTAGACACGCCACACTCTGCATCCACTCACCTCTTTATGATTGGCATGACAGCCTGTCAATCAGAGAGAGGGCGGGTCAGAAACTATTGATTATGTGCTTCAGTAATGAACGTGATGATCAGTCCCGATCTCTGACCTGCAGGAAGGCTCGCTGGTCCTGCTGCCGGTGGACGCGCTGCGCGCTCTCGATCAGCTGTTTGGACGCGTCCAGGGTTCGCCCGCAGCGCAGAAGCTCGCCGTACAGACGCTCCAGCACGCGGTTCTTCTGCTCGTCCAGCGCCGCCGCTCGCGTCTCGTGTCTCTGCGCCAGCGTCTGCAGGACCTCGTTATAGTGCTGCTCCAGGTTCTGCTCCTGACGCCCGAAGTTCTCCTGAAAACAAGTGGCGATTTATAAAAACAAACTTGACGGAAAAAACTGAGCGACCGAGTCTGGTTTCTTCCAAGGGGTTTTTTTCTCCATTCTGTCGCTTTTGTCTTGCTTGAGGACATTTAATGTAATATCCATCAGTATTATTGATCTCCTCATCGACAGCATTATATGAGGCTGAACTGAGCTGGACGATGACATCACGGGTTACTCCAGAGCCGCTATATATATAAATGAACTAAATGAATAAGTTTCTTACAGCAGAAATGAGCATCAGTGAACTGACTTAAGCTGGACTGTGACGCTATTGTCTTCTAGACACACACTCTGCATTATTCTCCTGCTGTCACACACTCTGTGCTGTAGAAATAAAGCTGACAGCATCAAACCGCCGAATGTGTGTGTGTGTGCGGAACATGACGTCGAGCCACGCACCTCCACCGTGATGAAGATCTCCTCCAGGTTACTGGCGAAGTTCTCCATCTCCACGATCTTCTGGCTCAGCTTACCCCTGCTGTGGGACAGCTCCTCCTGGAAGAGTACATGGTCTCATCACACACACACACCTGCACAGGTGTGAAGTCAAGTGTGTGTGGCTGGTTCTCACCTTCATCTGCTGCGCGGCGGGGCCGAGCGCGAGGCGTGTGTGACGCGCGTGCGCCGCGGCGCCGGTGTGTGTGAGGACGCGGCAGGGAGAGCAGAATGCATCATCAGGTGTGTGTGAGTCCTGCACCATCACAAACTCTTCCTCATCAGCCTCGTCTTCCTCACTCAGCTCCTCCGCGATCACACACAGACTCCGCGCGTCAAACGCGTCCATCCTGAGCGAGAGAACACACACTTCATGCGCACATTCACACACTTTCAGCTTGCTTATATCAATTACAATTCAATTCAAATGAGCTTTAGCGTGATTGTGTATCACATTGCTGCCAAAGCAGTAACATATTATATAAAACAAACAAACAAAACAAACAAAACATATCTTTTTTGCGCAGCAAGGCCAGCGCTGGCTGTGTGTAATGTTTATATCCGTCCTATCAGTCGAACACAAGCTCATCAACACACAGCTGACCACAACACACAGCTGACCACAACACACAGCTTTCACAGATTCAGAAACAGCAGAAAACATTACCAGAACACACACACAGTCTTACACACTCAGACACATATCGTTCTCTCACACACACTCGGATACACACACTCTCTCTCTCTCTCTCTCTCTCTCTCTCTCTCACACACACACACACACACACACACACACACACACACACACACACACACACGACATTGTCAGCAATAAACAAGCAATAACAGTTGTTTTCTTGCATTTTCTGAGATCGTCAGAGTAATAAAAGCGTCGAGAAGTACCTGCTGTCTCTCGGTGTGTTTCAGCTCGGTGTGTGTGTGTGTGTGTGTGTGTGTGTGTTTCAGTTCAGAACAGATAAATATAGACTGACGTGTCGAATATCAGCAGGAGCTCAAACCCCTCGCGATCTGAATCTGTTCACTGAACACACACACACTCACTGCTGCGACACAATCATCAGATAATAATGGACTTTAAATTAACTATCACTGCTTCTCGACATGTAAACCTTAGATGTCATTTTATAAGCATATATTATAAAACGACAAAATAGACTAGCCTACACTGTAAAAAATTTGGAGTAGGATTTACTTGAAAAAACCTTGCTAAACGATCTCACTCAGAAAATGCTAGTAAATTTACAAAGATTTGCCAAGTAAAAACCTAAACAACATATTTATCAGTAGCTTTAATTAGAAATCTTTAAGTTAAATTTACTTGGAATGTGGAATTAAGTAAACTTTACAAAAAATAAGTAATTTTAACTCGGCTTGTAAAAGGTTAATTAATACCAATTTCCTTTTCCTTTGTATTACACTTCACTAAAACAATTATCTTGAATTTTGTTAGTCATTTATAGTATGTTCTTTACTTAGATTATCTAAGTAATTTATATATACATCATGTCAGACTTTAAGCCTTATGTGAATGCAAACACCTCAATACTTGGTAGACAATACACAATGGTGGTAACATTTGATGGATCGTTTTTGTGTTTGAATGTGTCGTTTTAAGCAAAAAATTTACTCGAAATGTCACAAAATGGCAATTTACTAATACTGAAAACAAAAATCAATGATAAAACAGTGTAAATACAGCTGGAAACCAGTGAAAAATGAACCTCATTAATTATTCAAGGTCCAGTGCATGATGGGAACCCCAGTATCAGAAAAGTTGAGTAATTTTTACTTAACTTTATTGAGTTGATATTACACTTTCATTTATACTCGCTTGAAATAAGTACTGATATGGAATTTACTTAGTTTTTTTAAATTCTTGCCTGAACTAACTTTTTCAAGTAAATTACATTGGGTTTTTTCACTAGTATTTACTTAACCAAAAAATCATTTTTTACAGTGTATATTAGACCAGGGGTTCTCAACTCCAGTCCTCGCGACCCACTGCTCTGCATATTGTGTATGTTTCCCTTATTTAACACACCTGATTTAGATCCTCAGCTCGTTAGGATAGCCGTAGAGTCTATCTTAACTAGCTGAGGATCTGAATCAGGTGTGTTAAGTAAGGGAGACATACACAATATGCAGAGCAGTGGGTCGCGAGGACTGGAGTTGAGAACCCCTGTATTAGACAAAAAAATTTGACACACATTCAATTTATGTTCTAATATTTACATTTCAAACATAATAAATCATGAAAGAATATAAACCTGACAAATGCAACGATTACACTGTTTATTTGGATCAATCTGGCAAAATTAGTTTGACAATTGAAATTAGATTGACAGAATGAGTGTATCAGCAGCTCTATAAACATCAACAGCTTTCATCACACACACAAATATCATTTAAAGACACACATTGCCTCAGTCTGTTTTCAGAATGAGCTTTTGTTTTATGTATTTCTGTATTGTTTTGGATTTCTGTGTGTTTATCGTTATAACGTTCAAGATAAAATAATGATGTTATAATTACTTTGAACAAGTAAGGCTACATTTGATAACCACCGAAACGGTAACTGTAAGTTTTCTGTTATTGTTACAGCAACTCTTACTTCACACACACACACACACACACACGCACGCACGCACGCACGCACGCACGCACGCACGCACGCACGCACACACACACACACACACACACACACACACACACACACACACACACACACACTAGCGATGGGTTAGAAACCGAGCAGATATAAACAGGGGAATATTATAATATTATTATTATTATATTATTGTCATAATCTAATTGGCAACGAGTCAAGAACGCTGGAATTCCCCCTGTCACGTGCCCGCGGGATGACGACAGCGGAAGTGCAGGACAACACTGAACACAATCGCGATGAGCGACGCGGACTCGGACAGCTCGCGGATGGACAGCTTGGACGGATGGGTCGCGATTAAACGCGACGCCTTCGAGGACAGCGAGAGCCACAAGCTCAGGTTTATTGTGGAATGGAACGAGATCGAGACCAAGTTCGCGGTGACGTGTCATGACCGGACGCTCCAGCGACGCGGCGACGCGAGCGGCAGCTGCGCGGGTCTGTTCTCTGGCACGCAGCTGAGATACGTGCACGCGCACCTGAGCGCGGTCCGGGACGAGCTCGAGCCGCTGTTCCCCGAGCTGACGCGCTTCCGGGAGGCGAGCGTGTGGGACCTGCTTTTCTCCAACGCGCCGCCGTGCGATGCTGACGCGCAGTGCAGGCAGCTGGAGCGATACTTCAGCAACGCCGTGGACGCGTGCGGCCGCAGGATCGTGCTGGACGCGCTGTTCAGCGTCACTGAGGCAGACGAGCGCGAGTACTTCGAAAACCTGCAAGAGTTTAAATGCAAAGCGATGCGGGACGAGGTTACGCGCGCCAAAGACGCGTTGCGCGCGGTGAGCCGATACACTGACCCGGACTGAGTGCTATTCTGTTCTATTCTATTCTATTCTATTCTATTCTATTCTATTCTATTCTATTCTATTCTATTCTATTCCGCTTTTCTATTATGTTACATGATACTATTTCATTCTATTCTATTCCACTATTCTGTTTTACTTTAGTTCTATTCTGTTCTGTTCTGTTTCATTCTATTCTATTTCACTATTCTATTCTTTTACACTATTCTATTATACTCTTTCATTCTATTCCATCCGGCCATTCTGTTCTGTTCTATTCTGTTCTATTATACTATTTCACTCTATTCTATTCCACTATTCTGTTCTGTTCTTGACACTATTCTATTATGTACTCTTCTGTTATATTCTATTCTATTCCAATACTGTTTTCTGTTGTATTCCATTCCTATGTTCTACATTTATATTTAGTCATTTAGCAGATGCTTTTATCCAAAGCGACTCACATCTGAGGACTAAACCAAACAAGTCATCGTGAAGAGGCCATAACTACGCAAGTTCAGACATTGAAGAATTAAATTAAAGAATTTTATTGTATTTTTATATGAAGCGCTGACGGAAGAGATGAGTGTTAGTTGTGTTCTGAGTGCTGTCAGGGATTCTGCGTTCTGGATGATGATGATGATGATGATGATGGGCAGATCACTCCTCCAGCATGGGGCCGTCAGTGGATCGTGGGCTTCTGCTGGGGATGTCGACTCGTAGGAGCGAGTGAAAGTACGAGCGAGCGGAGCCAGTGGGCGATCTGTACGCAAGAGTCAACGTCTTGATCTTGATGCGAGCAGCGAGTGGAGCCAGTGCAGAGAGATGACCAGAGGAGTGACGCGAGTGACGTCGTTGAAGACCAGACGAGCTGCAGCATCCTGGATCATCTGTAGAGGTTTAATAGCGCATGATGGAAGTCCAGCCAGAAGAGCATCGCAGTAATCAAGCCTAGAGATGACCAGGGCCTGGACGAGAAGCTGTTCGCCTGCTCAGATAGGAAAGGCCTGATCTTCCTGATGTTGCCAACCTGCGTGATGGAGCTGTGTTAGTAATGTGGTCTGAGAAGGTCAGCGGTCATCAAAGATCACTCCAAGATTTCTGACCGACCTTGACGGGGTGATTGAGGAAGAATCGAGCTGGAGAGTGAAGTCGTGCCGTGGAGGAGGACGAGGAGCTCAGTCTTAGTCAGGTTGAGTCCATGCCGAGATGTCCTCCAGACAGCTTGAGATCCGTGCAGCTACTGTGAGATAGGACTCAAACCAGTGGAGGGAAGATCCAGTGATGGGTCACAGTGTGTTCTGGTCAATGTTCTGTTCTATTCTATTCTATTCTGTTTTGTTAAACCACTTTGGGCTTGTGCAAGGACAGTATATGAATAAAACTTCTTCTTCTTCTGTTCTATTCTACTCTATTCTAGTCTAGTCTATTCTACTATTCTAGTCGACTATTCTGTTCTGTTCTATTCTAATTTTCTTTTCTATTCTATTAAATTTGTCTATTCTGTTTTATTGTAATTATTTTAATTCTATTCTGTACCATTCTTGTCCAATCTAATCCATTATTATATTCTGTTCTTTTGTATCCTGTTTTCTATTCTATTATTCTGTTCTGTTCTATTCTACTTTTCTATTCTATCTTATTTTTCAGTCCTGTTCTATTCTGTTCTGTTCCATCTATTCCATCATTATATTATATACCGTTCCTTCTATTCTGTTCTATTCTGTCGTACTGTTCTGTTCTTTTCTACTTTTTTATTCTATTTTATTTTTCTATTCTGTTCTATTATAATTATTTTCTATTTTATTCTGTACTATTCTTTTCTGATCTATTCCATTATTATATTCTGTACTATTCTTTTCTGCTATTCTAATTCTATTCTATTTAACTATTCTATTCTACTATTCCAATTCTATTCTGTTCTATAATTTAGTTCTATTCTACTATTCTAAATCTATTCTATTCTTCTATTCAGTTTTATTCTAGTTCTATTCTGTTCCGATCTATTCCATCTTTATATTCTGTTCTTTTCTATTCTATTCTATTTTTCTATTCTGTTCTAATTATTTTCTATTCCATTCTTTACTACTGTTTTGTGATCTATTTCATTATACAGTATACTCTGTTCTGTTCTTTTCTATTCAATTGTTCTATTCTATTCTACTATTCTAATTCTATTCTGTTCTATTCTATTCTACAATTCTGTTCTATTCTACTATTGTAATTCTATTCTTTTCTGTTCTATTCTACAAACTATTCTAATTCTATTCTATTGTGCTGTGCTGTATTCTATTCTTCTATTCTGTTGTGCTGTTTGTTGTTGATGTCACGTCTGCCGTGTGGTTGTGTGTTGTCTGGTTCCTCAGCTCGTTCAGACTCACTCCAGCGCTGACGGACTCCAGCGGCTGATGAAGATCTACGAGGAGGAAGATGAGGCGTATAGAGAGTTTGTGTGTGTGGCGACTCAGTTCTACCAGAACCTCCTGCAGCCCTTCCGAGACATGAGGGAGATCGCCGCGCTCTACAAGACCGAGATCCTGGTACACACACACACACACACACACACACACACCATGACCCTCACAGATCAACAACACGTCAGAAGCAGCAGACGTTGATGGACAGTGTGTGTGTGTGTTCAGAAATGTCTGCAGTACGAGGAACTGGGGCCGAAGCGTGTGTGTGAACTGAAGACAGAGATGAACGAATGGAGTCAACGAGGAGAATCAGCCGTTCACTCCATACAGGACAACACGGCAGAATACTTCAAACACACTTCCAGAGCGCTGACAGGTCTCTCTCTCAAACACACACACACACACACGCTCACACACACACTCTCATCTGTGTGTTCCTTCAGGTATGGTGAAACAGATGGAGCAGGACCAGAAGAGATTTGGCCACGCCTCTTGGGCACTGGCCACGCCCAGACAAGAGAAACTAAGAATCTTATTGGCTAAAGAGACACTGCAGCACATGAGGGCCAAAGAGATGTGCATCAAACGCAAGAGAGCCGAGATCCGAGAGCAGGTGCAGTGTGTGTGTGTGTGTGTGTGAGAGTTTGTGTGTGAGTGTGTAAGTGTTTGTGTGTGTGTGAGTGTGTTTGCGTGAGAGTGTGTGTGTTTACACACAGTACAGGTGTATAATTGTTATATGAGGCTACATCTCCTCAGCCTGTGTGTGTACTGTACGACAGATGGAAACACTCTGAAATGTTTTTGTATTTTAACACCTAAAATGTGTCCAGAGCTCGTTACCCGCGACCGAAGCTAGGCCTCAACGAGAGCTCGTACCGATCGATTGCTCGTCACCCGGGGAACGAAACGAAGCAATAGCAGCCACACACACATTCCATGTGGATCGCTGTCCTGCCACAAACTCCCCATTTCAAAAAAGGCTCCCAGTAGAAGCCCGCGCGACTCCGCGAGTGTTTAGCTCACGCATATTTAGCTTAGCGGCCACACAATAAAGGTTCATCCGCTCTGCCGTGTCGTCCGCCGGAGACAGCCGGTCCTCCATGCGGGAGCCGCAGTCATCTCTCTCCGGTCTGCAACCGCGTTCGGGAACTGGAGGGTCCGGCGGATCACCACGGCCGGAGTCTTATGCTCCACGTCCCCCGATTGACTTTAGCTTCTCCTCCTGTCTATCCACAAGTTTCCGAGGGGCGCTCATGTAAAAAATAAAGTGGGTGAAACTTCCGGTGAGGCGACGGAAGTAGCATTCCAATGGTATTTTGTGTGTTAGTTAGCGAAGAGGCTAGCTGTTTTTCGGAGAATTATTTTACTATTTAAAGACGCAAATCTTTATGAGAGATGTCGTTACGGAGCTCAGGGACAACATGTGCTGTTCGCGGTTGTATGTATAACCGGACTAAACTAATTCAGTGGCTTAAACGTGATTGTTTTGAACATAAGCTGAAAACGAAATCAGAGTGATCCTGCCAGAGCCCGTCTCTGATCCTGCCAACGACTGTAGTTTCCATCACCTCCCAAAAGACGACGAATCTTCCTGTGTACATTTGTTTAAATTCTTAATGTTCTATAAACTCTATCAGCATGTGATTGGCTGTTCGCTACTGATGTCACAGCTAAACTCAGGATCAAAGCCTGTGTTGTCAGAATACCAAATGTGCCAGTTAATGTATTCAAGCAACACATTCATTTATACTTTTGAATAAACTCCAAAGCACAATGACTAAGTGTGTATTTTTTATTTTAATTGTTTGTCAGCTCGCACATCTGTCTGTCACCATGCCTTGATGAGTATTGATTATTAATAATGTTATTATAATACTCCCAATCAGCTACTGCGGAGGGTAAAGGTACTGTTATTTCACCCTTTTTAATTTGGTTGAGGTTGTGTTCCCACATCGTTAGCTAGTTTGGATCGCTATAACTTGAATGACTGTCAACTGTTGAATGAACGAGTATCAAGTATGTCAAATCGCGCTTTGTTTACTTCCAACCGGAAGTCGCGCCCACTTTTGACGCAAGGCCTCATGGGGCGTAGGAAACTTGTGGATACGCTCATTTCTCTACTGTGCGACAGTCGCGTGTTATGACACAATCGTTAGCCTATTTTTACAAAAACATCTTCTAACGTAACGTATAACATAAGATACAAGGTAGGCTAATGGACGAATGGAGTGTTTAAACCCCTCAGATGTACAGTTATTCACTGTAAACGGGAGTCGCTGGAATGCTAACGGCGGGAAGGTCTGCTAGCCTGTTAGCCTTCCGTACTCTAATGCAGATTCAGTGTTTGTCCTGCAGCTGGGCAGCGCTCCACCAGAGGGAGCTGTCTCACGTGTGTGTGTGTGTGTGTGTGTGTGCAGATGCGCAGCGGGGCCGAGTGTGTCCGTGAGCTGGAACTCCAGTATTACGAGACACAGGTGGAACTTCACGACTGCAGGTTTGAGATCCTGAGGAACGAGGAGATGCTGATACTGACGCAGATCCAGACCATACAGAGACAGATCACAGGTCTAACACACACACACACACACACACACACACACACACACACACACACACACACACACACACACACACACACATCACAGATCACAGGTCTAACACATCACACACACACACACACACACACACACACACACACACACACACACACACACACACACACACACACACACACACACACACACACACACTCCAGTCAGTATTCCCAGATTATTATGATCATTGGTGTGTGTGTGTGTGTGTGTGTGTGTGTATGTGTGTGTGTGACTCTTAAGGGCTGATTTCAGGTTTCTATAAATTAATAGGAGCATTTCGATCCCAAAAGCAGGTGTGATTAACAATATAATAACCAGTGTGACAGACTGAAGAGTGTGTGTGTGTGTGTGTGTGTGTGTTGTGCAGAGCTGAAGGAGCAGGTGGTGTACTACGACACCTGTCAGGACCCCGAGGAGCTGCAGGAGCTCCAGGTGGATGTAAGCCCCGCCCACTCACACCTGCAGCAGCAGCTGAAACACCTGGAGAGCAAAAGAGGAGCGATCTCATCACGCAGAGCTTACCTGAGGAACCAGCGGGTACACACACACACACACACACACACACCTGAGGAACCAGCGGGTACACACACACACACACACACACACACACACACACACACACACACACCTGAGGAACCAGCAGGTACATGCACAGACAGTTGTGTGTTGATCGTGTGTGTGTGTGGCTTTGGGGGAGTTAACCCCACGGCATATTTATTAATTTATTTATTAATTCAATAATTTTCTTGTGTAAAAGGTAACATGCTAATTTGCCGTTCATGTATTATAAATACACTGTGCTACATTTACATTTAATGTGTTCTCAATGTGCTCACCTGGTTAAATAAAGGTGTTATTATTTTATTATCATTATTACTGATTTAGGCTACTTAACATAAATGCAGCTGTTCACCGGACTATCCCATAATGACACAGTATTAAATGAAGTGTTTAAACACAGCCAGCAGTGGCAGCTTACACGTCATTTATTGTTTGTGTTCAATATCTTATGAAAAAAACAAGAACGCTATTTTAATAAACTAGACTTCAAGTTTAATTGTTAATATGTATTTTTATTAACATCACATTTTAAAAATGTAACATCAAAAAATAGCATTAAAAACTTTCAAATAGAGAAAATGAAAGTGCAATTATATTATCACTGTGCATGAAATAACACTCAACAGTACTTCAAAAAATTGTGTTTGCATTTAGAAATTCAGAAACTGAGAAAATACAAGTGTGGACTTCTAGCCTTACTAGTGCTTTGATTCATTTTGTCACTTTGCCACCTTCATGCAAAAAATTAAAAAAAATTAAATTAAATAATAAGAATCTCAAATTGAGCCGGAGGTGGTAAATTCCTAATTAATGTAACGTTACGTACTTTTTTAGATACCTAAAATAAGTTGCGCTTACAGCTCAACTAACGCGATCGTTATAAAGGTGTTTGCAACAACAAAACACATCCACTTATTCCACATATTTGACAATCGGAATATCAGATATATCCTGCTATAGCTAACAAATTTGTACAATTTTGAATAAAAAGAAATAAAAGCAGTCAGATCATCAGTCATTCAGCTATTGTGGCTACGTGTGACGAGCGATGAAGGACGCGTCTCCATGGGAACCATAAAGCGATACTACGATCAATAACGGTTGCATTGAAAAACTTTTTTTTAACTTCCGTGTGAAAGGTTAAGTAAGGCTTACATTTAAATGTGTCTTTGTTTTGTTTTGGGTGTGTGGTCAATAAATAAAGGAATTAAAAAGCTTTCTCCAACCATTCACCCCCGCGACTGCGCAAAATACCGAACAAACTTTGTAGAGAAAGCGGGTTATACCAAGTAGTCGGTGTGGTGGCGAGGGGATACGTTACAGATTATTTAAAATATGATACTATCTTTCTTGCTGGCAAATTAATTTGCTAAAGAAAATGAACGTTATTCATTCGGAATATTTCATATTTATTTTAATCTGAATGATGGGGTGATATTGGGGGGGTGTTGTTTGTGTGTGTGTGTGTCTGCAGGAGTTGTGTGTTCAGGCTCAAGAGCAGCAGAAGCGTTCAGTCACACAGAGATCCGCGCAGAACCACCAACATCATGCCGTACACCTGGTGAGTAATGCACTGTAACCATGGTAACCACATCCCACTTCATCGCCACACAAAGCATCCCATAATGAGTCACAGCAACAGTGCCGAGGATCCCGTGGGCTGACAGAGTTGCAATGGCAACCGTCCGGCTGTGGTCACGCTCGCTCAAGTGCAGTTAGTGATGCGAGTGCAGTTAGTGATGCCAGTGCAGTTAGTGATGCGTGTGCAGTTATTGATGCCAGTGCAGTTAGTGATGCCAGTGCAGTTAGTGATGCCAGTGCAGTTAGTGATGCAGTTATTGATGCCAGTGCAGTTAGTGATGCCAGTGCAGTTAGTGATGCGTGTGCAGTTAGTGATGCCAGTGCAGTTAGTGATGCAGTTATTGATGCCAGTGCAGTTAGTGATGCCAGTGCAGTTAGTGATGCGTGTGCAGTTAGTGATGCCAGTGCAGTTAGTAATGCAGTTAGTGATGCCAGTGCAGTTAGTGATGCCAGTGCAGTTAGTGATGCCAGTGCAGTTAGTGATGCGAGTGCAGTTAGTGATTTAGTTAGTGATGCCAGTCAGTGCAGTTAGTGATGCGAGTGCAGTTAGTGATGCCAGTGCAGTTAGTGATGCGAGTGCAGTTAATGATGCCAGTGCAGTTAGTGATGCAGTTATTGATGCAGTTAGTTATGCCAGTGCAGTTATTGATGCGTGTGCAGTTAGTGATGCAGTTAGTGATGTCAGTGCAGTTAGTGATGCGAGTGCAGTTAGTGATTTAGTTAGTGATGCCAGTGCAGTTAGTGATGCCAGTGCAGTTAGTGATGCCAGTGCAGTTAGTTATGCCAGTGCAGTTATTGATGCGTGTGCAGTTAGTGATGCAGTTAGTGATGTCAGTGCAGTTAGTGATGCGAGTGCAGTTAGTGATGCGAGTGCAGTTAGTGATTTAGTTAGTGATGCCAGTGCAGTTAGTGATGCCAGTGCAGTTAGTGATGCCAGTGCAGTTAGTGATGCCAGTGCAATTAGTGATGCCAGTGCAGTTAGTGATGCAGTTAGTGATGCGAGTGCAGTTAGTGATGCCAGTGCAGTTAGTGATGCAGTTATTGATGCAGTTAGTTATGCCAGTGCAGTTATTGATGCGTGTGCAGTTAGTGATGCAGTTAGTGATGTCAGTGCAGTTAGTGATGCGAGTGCAGTTAGTGATGCGAGTGCAGTTAGTGATTTAGTTAGTGATGCCAGTGCAGTTAGTGATGCGAGTGCAGTTAGTGATGCAGTTAGTGATGCAAGTGCAGTTAGTGATGCAGTTAGTTATGCCAGTGCAGTTATTGATGCGAGTGCAGTTAGTGATGCAGTTAGTGATGCCAGTGCAGTTAGTGATGCGTGTGCAGTTAGTGATGCCAGTGCAGTTATTGATGCGTGTGCAGTTAGTGATGCCAGTGCAGTTAGTGATGCGTGTGCAGTTAGTGATGCCAGGGCAGTTAGTGATGCCAGTGCAGTTAGTGATGCATGTGCAGTTAGTGATGCCAGTGCAGTTAGTGATGCGTGTGCAGTTATTGATGCGTGTGCAGTTGGTGATGCGAGTGCAGTTAGTGATGCGAGTGCAGTTAGTGATGCCAGTGCAGTTAGTGATGCGAGTGCAGTTAGTGATGCCAGTGCAGTTAGTGATGCGAGTGCAGTTAGTGATGCGTGTGCAGTTAGTGATGCCAGGGCAGTTAGTGATGCCAGTGCAGTTAGTGATGCATGTGCAGTTAGTGATGCCAGTGCAGTTAGTGATGCGTGTGCAGTTATTGATGCGTGTGCAGTTGGTGATGCGAGTGCAGTTAGTGATTTAGTTAGTGATGCCAGTGCAGTTAGTGATGCCAGTGCAGTTAGTGATGCAGTTAGTGATGCCAGTGCAGTTAGTGATGCGCGTGCAGTTAGTGATGCGAGTGCAGTTAGTGATGCCAGTGCAGTTAGTGATGCCAGTGCAGTTAGTGATGCAGTTAGTGATGCGAGTGCAGTTAGTGATGCCAGTGCAGTTAGTGATGCGAGTGCAGTTAGTGATGCCAGTGCAGTTAGTGATGCGAGTGCAGTTAGTGATGCCAGTGCAGTTAGTGATGCCAGTGCAGTTAGTGATGCCAGTGCAGTTAGTGATGCCAGTGCAGTTAGTGATGCAGTTAGTGATGCCAGTGCAGTTAGTGATGCGAGTGCAGTTAGTGATGCCAGTGCAGTTAGTGATGCCAGTGCAGTTAGTGATGCCAGTGCAGTTAGTGATGCAGTTAGTGATGCCAGTGCAGTTAGTGATGCGAGTGCAGTTAGTGATGCCAGTGCAGTTAGTGATGCCAGTGCAGTTAGTGATGCCAGTGCAGTTAGTGATGCCAGTGCAGTTAGTGATGCCAGTGCAGTTAGTGATGCGAGTGCAGTTAGTGATGCGAGTGCAGTTAGTGATGCCAGTGCAGTTAGTGATGCCAGTGCAGTTAGTGATGCGAGTGCAGTTAGTGATGCCAGTGCAGTTAGTGATGCCAGTGCAGTTAGTGATGCCAGTGCAGTTAGTGATGCCAGTGCAGTTAGTGATGCCAGTGCAGTTAGTGATGCAGTTAGTGATGCGAGTGCAGTTAGTGATGCGAGTGCAGTTAGTGATGCGAGTGCAGTTAGTGATGCCAGTGCAGTTAGTGATGCTCCGTTCCCTGGGTCTGATGAAGCTTCCCTGTTGAATTACTCTTCCTGTCATTCCAGTTCCTCATCCGGGACGTGGCCGATTCAAACTCACACTCACATTCCTATTTTGTGCCTGTCATTGTTTGTGCTGGCGTCTCTGACCGTGTCTCGTGTGTGTGTGTGTGTGTGTTCAGAAGCGAGAGAAGAGGAGAGCTGAGGAAGAAAAGCAGAAGCAATGGCTGGAGAACGAGAGAGCAAAGACACTCAACAGAGTGCGCAGCTTCAGAGAGGTAATGCATTGTTTTGTGTGTGTGTGTGTGTGTGTGTGTGTGTGTGTGAGTTAATTTCCAACATGGCTTCAGTGTTTTGTGTTTCTTTGAGTTTAGAGACATCAGGGTCAGTATGTTTTACATACAGAGTCACATGACTCCAGCAGAGATGACTCCTCCCAGCCCCTGTCAATCATCAGCTTGGGACCGCAAAGCTCCACCCCCCGTAGGAAGGGGCGGAGTCAGAAGCAGCGTGAAATTCCGGTTCAGATTCTGCTGCCCTCTGGATCTGGATCTTCATCAGCAAAATCAAACCAGACGCCTCCTCCTCCTCCTCCTCCTCCTCCTCTTCTTTCTCCTCCTCCTCCTCCTCCTCCTCCTCCTCTTCCTCTTCTTTCTCCTCCTCTTCTTCCTCCGCCTGCTCCGCAAACCAGTGACAAGCTGCCGATGCGAAACACTCTTGAACAAAACTCAGGTGAGCGTCACAAACTAATGAAATACAATTCTTTTGTTTTCATGTTTTAGCTTAAAAAAGCAATATAAAACAGTATACAAAATATTATAGTTTGTATGTTCAAAAAAACATGTTCTTTATTGTTGTACTTAAAAATAACACAGTAAATAACTTAATAACACAATAAATAATGGTCAATAAACAAACATTTAGTAAAAGAGCTTGAGGTGGAAGAAATGATTCATAGCCAGACAAATTATATCACTTTTAAACTTCACTAGTGTAAAGTTCGGAAGTCATGTTGTTTTGATTTGTTGACAGGATATTTTAGTCTTATGAACAAAATTAAGACACTCTTAAGAAAATATTTGAGAATGTAAGGAATTACACTTCTTCTTATGAATTTTTTACTGCAAGTCATATTAGTGACCCAGAGTCAAGTCTAATTATATTTTACATTCAAAAAAATAAGGACCATTTTAGAACTTTCATGATTCCTTGTACTGTGAAATAATTTTCATGGGAATTAAGCATATTTACCCCCACCGTAGTGAAATCTCATTCCCATCACATTTTTTTTGTTTCAATGAAATGAATGTACTATATTTTAGTTCGATAATGTTTTTGATTGAATATTTAGGGGATTTTATGGCACTGAATTATATTTACGCTGGATTTATAATCCATTTATTCACTTTTTGATCATAGACCTGAAAATTACAGTTCCATCTTAAACTGGTAAATCTTGAAGGCTTTAGAGCGACAGACTGAAGTTTGATCTCTTCTCAAACACCACACTCGGCAGATTATTGCTGAAGTGAACACAGTTTTAAAAAGTGAACTTGAAAAAAGTTGCAGAATTTTACATGGATTGTTATGAAAAATTTACAAAAATACTATTTTATATTTTAAATATGAAATATATATTTTCAAAAACATGTTTTACTCTAATATTGAGACAATAAAAGCCATAAATCTAAACAAGTTGTGTTCAAAATTTGATATCTAAAAATAATTGATCTTTCAAAGAGTGTGTCCGGCTGCAATACCAAACGCTTCCACTAGAGGAAACTCGTCTACCATTCATTTCCAATGCACTCATTTTTTAAGTGTGACTATTTTTTTTCAGGACCATTTAACCTTTTTAAATCATGTCCATTATTTTTTGGGAGTGTTGTTCACACACAGCAAGTGCCAAAACCTTACCAAGTTTCATACCATTCCGATGAAGAAAAAAATTCTACAAAAAACAAAATTTTCCGGTCAAAAATGACCGCAGAGCACCAGAGGGATGAGCATTGTGTCATGTTATGAACTGACTGTCTCTCAGTGAGTGAAGTGTGTTTGTGATGCAGGGTCGATGGACGAGCTCCTAGCATCTCTTCAGCGCGGACAGAAACACCTGAGGAAGGTCGAGGTCAAGGTCGAGAGTGGTGATGTCAGAGACAGCCTCCTGTCAGCCATCCGTCAGGGCGTGGCCTTGAAGAAAGCCCCGCCCTCTCGTGCACCGCCCCTCAGCTCAGACTCAGAGTTGGAGCGCAGCATCAAAGCTGCCATGCTGAGGATGAAGAAGGTCTCGAACGACTCTGACGATGAAGAGCGCCCGGACTCGCCGTCTGGAGACTGGGAGAGTTAAACACCCTGAAGTTGTTTCCCGAACTGACGTGTGCCGTTTCAGCCAGGATTACTAGTTGTGATGCTAACTTCCTTTGCCAATGTGAAACTACATTCAGATCTCTTTGGTATTTTGCACTGAAATGTCTTGTCATTATGAAAGAATAGAGTTAATTGCACTGAACATTTGTGTCAATAAGATCCGTGGTTCTGAACGGGTCAATTAAAGTGCCTGATCAGGACTGGTGTGTGTGTGTGTGTGTGTGTGTGTGTGTGAGGGAATCACCTTCACCCGTCACTCCATAATAAAGGAGTGATGTACTTTCTGATTTGGTCACAGAGTTTAACATTTTTAGCAAAACTGGGAGTTAGCCAAGTTTGCTTCACATTACTGCTTCAATTTCAAAAAGGCAAGAAGTTATAAATCAGACTGTCGTAAACAAAAGACATCAAACATCAAAATCTCAAAACAAAAGACATCAAACCATCAACGCACACCTAGCACCTACAGTAGCTATAAGAGTGTTCACATCGCCTGTATCTTCATGGTTTTGCCATCGCTGTGTAAACAGAAGGACGGCGCTATGAAGAGTGTGTGTGTGTGTGTGTGTCAGCTTTGCCTTCGTAAAGTCACCGTTTTATCAGTTGGTCTATCAGTGGCCTTACGGTCTGAAAAGCAGAATGATATATTAATGTAAAGCCCAGGAATCAGTCTTTCTGCCACTTTGGGTAAAACAGGGGAATGGAAACTGGCAGCCAAATTATCAGGAAAATATAACGCAGCAGTTTCAAAACAGCAACAACATTAAAAAATACACTGCAAATCAAATTCTCTTATTTCAACTTAAAAAATTAAGTTCTGTTGCTACTTTAAATGAAATCTTATCAAATTGGCTCTAAAAATAATTTCAACTTTAATTATATTAAAACTGACATATTAAGTTGAATCTCGTATTACTTATAAAAATTTAAATTCATTTTGTAAAAACATACTGTATGTTGCCATGAATTATTGTTCATTTTTTACAGTAAATGAAAAAACACAATTAAATAGCTCTTGGCTCCTCGCTAGCCTTGGCTCCTCGCTAGTCTTGGGTCCTCGCTAGTATTGGGTCCTCGCTAGCCTTGGGTCCTCGCTAGCCTTGGTTCCTCGTTAGCCTTGGTTCTGCAAATTATTTTTTTTCAAATTCAACTCCACAAACACACAAATCAATATTACAAATTTTAAAAGTTTGTAACGTAAAATAAGATTGTGGACGGGACAAACAGAAACTGATGAATCACTACTGTTTCTGACTAGCGCATGTTACACCTATTTCACTTCATAAATAAAGAATTCAAGTCAGCTTTATTTAGGCTGTAGGCCTATAGCGCTTTATAAAATACAGAGTGTTTCAAAGCAGCTTTACAGTGATAACATGAAAGCAGTGCATTTTCTTTTCAGTTCTACTCTGGCCAACGAACGAACGGCGTATGATTATGATTCTGGCAGGGTCAGAGGTCAGATCGGGATCTCCTGCTTGCATCGATCAGGTTCTGGAGCCAAACCTGGTCAGGCTGTGTGTGGAGGACCAGTCCGGTTCAAGTGATGATTCTGAGTATTTACTAAGTTACTTTGCAGATGATGGATCATACAGTCTGTGGACCGGCTTTAGTGTGTTATAATAACACAGGTGAGCAGAATAAGCAGGAGTGTTACTGAGATGTTGTTCATGTGCTCATTCTGACCTTAATGATTCACCACACATTCACACATTAGACTCTCGTTATCTCTCTTCGTGTGACACATGAATAACATTTGTAAACACTCCACAAAAAAATATGAATCTTTTTTTTTTTTTACATTGTAAGATGTAAATGTCCTGTTTGAAATATATTACCGTGTTAGCATAAATATTGTTAATAGAATGACATTCTGTAAAGGAAAATCTATTGCTGTTGTAGTTCTACTTGTTTTTCCCCCTTTAAAAAATAAACTCGAGCTGAATTGAAAAACGTGTTATGTTATGAAATAAAATTATTTCGCGTTTATTAAACTGAATAAAATCCCATATAAGTACGAAATATCATTCCCTGAACATTACACGACGAGGAGGAAGAAGAAGACGACGAGGGAAGAGGTGTTTCTCCAGGCCTTTCTCCTCTTTCATTATTTATTTCCTTATTAATTGCGATCAAAACATTGATGGTCGATCATCCGCCGCTGAGCTCGAGACTCGCGGAATATCGTGCAGTTTTTCGCTTCGGTGATTGTGTGTGTCGCGATGGCTCGCCCACGGCCCCGGGAATATAAAGCTGGAGATCTGGTTTTCGCGAAGATGAAGGGATACCCGCACTGGCCGGCGAGGGTGAGTACGAGCTGTAGCCGAGCAGGGAGACGCGGAGGCCGGTTACTAGAGCTGGGAGAGACCGCTAAACACTCACACACACCCGGGGAGCGGAGAGACGCGGAGGCCGGTTACCGGAGCTCAGAGGGGCCGTTAAACACTCACACACACACACGGTTACTGGAGCTGACAGCGACCGCTGAACACTCACACACACCCGGAGCTCCAGCGGTGCTATCTGAGGGGAAATAAGGGCAAAGGGGTCGAAATGCGTCAGTAAAAGTCTGCAACACGCGGATCGTGAGTGTGGAAGTGTTTTTGTCTGGAGTGTGAAATGATCCGCTTGTTCTCGTCATTTGGGGCTCTGCGTTATTTCAGGCGTTTATGAAGTGTTTGAATCACGGGAAGGGTCTGGATCTGGGTTATTCTGAGGTGTGTGTGTGTGTGTGTGTCCTGTTGTTATGGGGAAGCAGCTGTTCCTCATCTGGGCCATCAAAAGCCCGTTCGGCCCGCGTTTTATTCAAAACACCGGAATGGCGTTCAGCGAAGAACCGTTCCGTTCGGTTCCGTTGGTGTAAACTATTAGATGATCTGGGCCCAGAATAGCGTTTTGATTTCCACTTCATTTTAAACCCAACCCACCATGTTCTCAGATCCAGTGGTGTTATAGTTCTGGACGCTGTGAGATCAGGATGATTATTTTCGAATCTAACAGCAGCAAAAGAGCAGAAGTGGAAAACATGCAAACTGTCTTAAATATGAAACGAGGTTAACGCGTCTGTCAGCTAGGGAAAAGCTGATCTGTGAACATGGTGAGACGGTTGGATAAATAAAATCGCACACATTCAAAATAATATTCCCAAACAATATGTGTGTGAGTTAGTGCTGAACTGTGTGTGTGTGTTGCAGATTGATGAGCTACCAGAGGGAGCCGTGAAGCCGCCAGCTAATAAATACCCCATCTTCTTCTTCGGTACCCATGAGACGTAAGCCTTGTGTGTGTGTGTGTGTGTGTGTGTGTGTGTGTGTGTACCTACTTAAATATATTATGGTAACAAATTTGTACCAAGAACTGACAAAACCTGACAAAATCTCCAAAACCTCAGTTTACGGACGTCCTCATTTGTAAATCTGGTATAAAGTAAATAATTATAGGTGTATTGACAATGCAAAAAATGCAGAAAGTGTTCTGTGACTGTGATGGGTAGGGTTACGCCCGTTTCACACACGTTTGCAGTGCGTATTATTTCCGCAGGTTAGAGCTTTGCTTACACACAGAGATGTTAGAGATGCAGTCCGGAGACCAATTCCAGGTGCGGTGTGTAAACCTACTTATCTCCGCCCCCTGATCCCTAACCCCACCCCTAACCATCTCCGCCCCCTGATCCCTAACCCCACCCCTAACCATCTCCGCCCCCTGATCCCTAACCCCACCCCTAATCCTACCCATCTCCGCCCCTTAGATCTGGATCCAACTCCGCCTCTTGGATCTCATGTACCTCAATGAGGTGCTGCTACTGATTTTTGCTGTGCTGGAAATGCTGAATTAAAGTGACAGCGCACGGTTCGTGGTCAAAATGAACACCATCTCACCATAAATGTATTTATTTAATTACTACTTTTTTTCACAGTCATCTTTTATACTTTAAGTATAAAGCAAGGGATAAGCAAGGAAAACTACAATTTACCTCAACATGGGCGTTATGAACGACTCTCGTCTCTTTCGTGGAGGTGGAAAAACAAGTTCTTTGTAATATGCAAGATTTATTGAATTAACACACAAATGCAAAAGAAAAGGCATTAGAGGCGGCTGTTTTATCAATTGTAAAATGTTTGCGATTTTAATATAAGTACATGGTAAAATATTTGACCAATTGCTTGAGCAACTTTATATATAGAAGTAATGCATGGAATTATAGGCCTTTAAATTTTGTTTAAATGTGCATACGTCCATTCAAGTTTGTATATGTGTACAAAGATAATCGCAATGCTGACAACTTTTTTTTTTTTTAAATAAACTTCTGGATTTGAAATAAAAATAGTGAGTAGGTCTGTGTGTTTGTGGCCCAGCCGGGGATCAGTTACGCACTGCAAACGCAGCATGTGTGAAAGCGCTATAGCCCGCGCTGCTCCTGTACCGTAAACGCACCGCAAACGGGCGCGTAGGTGTGTGTGTGTGTGTGTGTGAGAAATTCGGTGATGCATGTCTCTGTGTTAGTGATGTGTGACGGCCGTATCTGTGTCCCCTAGTGCGTTCCTGGGCCCTAAAGACCTGCTGCCCTACAAGGAATACAAGGACAAGTTTGGCAAGTCAAACAAAAGAAAAGGATTCAATGAAGGCCTGTGGGAAATTGAAAACAATCCTGGTGTCAAATTCACTGGTTACCAGGTGAGTTACAGTATTTGATGAGCTGAGGTGTGTGTGAGGGTCACGTGACCTGCTCTGTCTCACTCACACACACACACACACACACAGGTGATGCAGCAGCAGAGCTCCTCGGAGACGGAGGGAGAAGGAGGGAACGCAGTCGACAGCGAGGAAGAAGAAGAGGAGGGAAAGCTGAAGAGCGACAAAGTCGGATCCAAGCGGAAAAAAAGTGCATCCTCAAAGGTACCTGAGCGTTTCTGTGAGCGTCTGTCATTTTACCGCTATATAGATTTCAGAATCCATGTTGTTTGAAAGCAGGGTTACAGAAAACCATGTGAACACCTGAAGGACAAACTCCATTAGGTGTCTAGATGGAGAGAGATTGTTATAGTTACAAAATCTGCATAATTCAAGTCATGTGTTCACTGGATCCTGATGCTGAAGGTCAGTGCAGCTCCAGGTCAGCAGGGGGCAGTGTGTGTGGAAGATGAACACACACACTTTGCAGACTTATGCTCTATTTGAAGCTGTTTTGCAGTATACATAGTGCGAGTAGAAAAAGTGCACTTTAAATTGTGGAGCGTTGGACGCTTGATGCTCTCAACTATCAGACTGAAGCTGGGTGACAATATAACCTTTTAAACCTCATACACTACATAGTGTAAGTGCATAGTGTGCGGTACATGATTTGGGATGCAGCGTATGTGTGAGATCAGAGATTTTTTCACCCACACCTGTTGAAGTGCATGTGGATCTCCTGACGGCTGATGAAGACTTCATCGAAGGATTCGAGTCTGAAGGCTTACCGCCTCTAGCTGAGCCCTTGCTTAGCAACAGCTGTTGCCTAGCAACCGAGTCCTGCACGTTCATATACTGTACTATACTGTAGTGAAGGTTACTGTGCTGCTTGAACAAGTTTAGTGTATCAGTGAGAGAGAAACACAGGCTGCAAATGAGAGTGTGCTCTGGGTGTTTCGTCAAGCCTGTTTTCATTCTTAAACTCTCCTACAGTCCTCCAAGCTGTCCAGGAAGGGTTCGGGAGATGAAGATCTGGAGAAGGATGGGAAAGATGAGCAGAAGAGCGGATCAGAGGCTGGTGACCATGACAACAACATCCATAACTCTTCAGACAAGACATGCAGTCAAGGGGTAAGAACATGTGAAGCAGCTGATCCCATCTTCACTATATTAATACACAGTAACAGGAATTTCATGAAATGACTACACTGTTACACCTGTAGGCACTGTTACACCTGTAGAGACTGTTACACCTGTAGACACTGACGCACCTGTAGACACTGTTACACCTGTAGGCACTGTTACACCTGTAGGCACTGTTACACCTGTAGGCACTGTTACACCTGTAGACACTGTTACACCTGTAGAGACTGTTACACCTGTAGACACTGACGCACCTGTAGACACTGTTACACCTGTAGACACTGACGCACCTGTAGAGACTGTTACACCTGTAGACACTGACGCACCTGTAGACACTGTTACACCTGTAGGCACTGACACACCTGTAGAGACTGTTACACCTGTAGGCACTGACGCACCTGTAGAGACTGTTACACCTGTAGGCACTGTTACACCTGTAGACACTGTTACACCTGTAGACACTGTTACACCTGTAGACACTGACGCACCTGTAGGCACTGATACACCTGTAGACACTGTTACACCTGTAGACACTGTTACACCTGTAGACACTGTTACACCTGTAGGCACTGTTACACCTGTAGAGACTGTTACACCTGTAGAGACTGTTACACCTGTAGGCACTGTTACACCTGTAGACACTGTTACACCTGTAGACACTGTTACACCTGTAGGCACTGTTACACCTGTAGGCACTACACCTGTGGACACTGTTACACCTGTAGACATTGTTAAATCTGTTACACCTGTAGGCACTGTTACACCTGTAGACACTGTTACACCTGTAGACACTGTTACACCTGTAGACACTGTTACACCTGTAGACACTGTTACACCTGTAGGCACTGTTACACCTGTAGGCACTACACCTGTGGACACTGTTACACCTGTAGACATTGTTAAATCTGTTACACCTGTAGGCACTGTTACACCTGTAGGCACTGTTACACCTGTAGACACTGTTACACCTGTGGACATTGTTAAATCTGTTACACCTGTAGGCACTGTTACACCTGTAGGCACTGTTACACCTGTGGACATTGTTAAATCTGTTACACCTGTAGGCACTGTTACACCTGTAGGCACTGTTACACCTGTGGGCACTGTTACACCTGTAGACACTGTTACACCTGTGGACATTGTTAAATCTGTTACACCTGTAGGCACTGTTACACCTGTAGGCACTGTTACACCTGTAGACACTGTTACACCTGTGGACATTGTTAAATCTGTTACACCTGTAGGCACTGTTACACCTGTAGACACTGTTACACCTGTAGGCACTGTTACACCTGTAGGCACTGTTACACCTGTAGGCACTGTTACACCTGTAGGCACTGTTACACCTGTAGACACTGTTACACCTGTAGACACTGTTACACCTGTAGACATTGTTAAATCTGTTACACCTGTAGACATTGTTAAATCTGTTACACCTCTAGGCACTGTTACACCTGTAGGCACTGTTACACCTGTAGGCACTGTTACACCTGTAGACACTGTTACACCTGTAGACACTGTTACACCTGTAGACATTGTTAAATCTGTTACACCTCTAGGCACTGTTACACCTGTAGGCACTGTTACACCTGTAGGCACTGTTACAGCTGTAGACACTGTTACACCTGTAGACATTGTTAAATCTGTTACACCTCTAGGCACTGTTACACCTGTAGACACTGTTACACCTGTAGACAGTTACACCTGTAGACACTGACGCACCTGTAGGCACTGATACACCTGTAGACACTGTTACACCTGTAGACACTGTTACACCTGTAGACACTGTTACACCTGTAGACACTGTTACACCTGTAGGCACTGTTACACCTGTAGAGACTGTTACACCTGTAGAGACTGTTACACCTGTAGGCACTGTTACACCTGTAGACACTGTTACACCTGTAGACACTGTTACACCTGTAGGCACTGTTACACCTGTAGACACTGTTACACCTGTAGACACTGTTACACCTGTAGGCACTGTTACACCTGTAGGCACTACACCTGTGGACACTGTTACACCTGTAGACATTGTTAAATCTGTTACACCTGTAGGCACTGTTACACCTGTAGACACTGTTACACCTGTAGACACTGTTACACCTGTAGACACTGTTACACCTGTAGACACTGTTACACCTGTAGGCACTACACCTGTGGACACTGTTACACCTGTAGACATTGTTAAATCTGTTACACCTGTAGGCACTGTTACACCTGTAGGCACTGTTACACCTGTAGGCACTGTTACACCTGTAGACACTGTTACACCTGTGGACATTGTTAAATCTGTTACACCTGTAGGCACTGTTACACCTGTAGGCACTGTTACACCTGTGGACATTGTTAAATCTGTTACACCTGTAGGCACTGTTACACCTGTAGACACTGTTACACCTGTAGGCACTGTTACACCTGTAGGCACTGTTACACCTGTAGGCACTGTTACACCTGTAGGCACTGTTACACCTGTAGACACTGTTACACCTGTAGACACTGTTACACCTGTAGACATTGTTAAATCTGTTACACCTGTAGACATTGTTAAATCTGTTACACCTCTAGGCACTGTTACACCAGTAGGCACTGTTACACCTGTAGGCACTGTTACACCTGTAGACACTGTTACACCTGTAGACACTGTTACACCTGTAGACATTGTTAAATCTGTTACACCTCTAGGCACTGTTACACCTGTAGGCACTGTTACACCTGTAGGCACTGTTACAGCTGTAGACACTGTTACACCTGTAGACATTGTTAAATCTGTTACACCTCTAGGTACTGTTACACCTGTAGACACTGTTACACCTGTAGACAGTTACACCTGTAGACACTGTTACACCTGTAGACATTGTTAAATCTGTTACACTTGTTGACACTGTTACACCTGTAGACACTGTTACACCTGTAGACATTGTTAAATCTGTTGCAGCTGTAGGCACTGTTACACCTGTAGACACTGTTACACCTGTAGGCACTGTTACACCTGTAGACACTGTTACACCTGTAGACATTGTTAAATCTGTTACACCTGTAGGCACTGTTACACCTGTAGACACTGTTACACCTGTAGACATTGTTAAATCTGTTACACCTGTAGGCACTGTTACACCTGTAGACACTGTTACACCTGTAGACAGTTACACCTGTAGACACTGTTACACCTATAGACATTGTTAAATCTGTTACACTTGTTGACACTGTTACACCTGTAGACACTGTTACACCTGTAGACATTGTTAAATCTGTTACACTTGTTGACACTGTTACACCTGTAGGCACTGTTACACCTGTAGACATTGTTAAATCTGTTACACCTGTAGACAGTTACACCTGTAGGCACTGTTACACCTGTAGACACTGTTACACCTGTAGACAGTTACACCTGTAGACACTGTTACACCTGTAGACATTGTTAAATCTGTTACACTTGTTGACACTGTTACACCTGTAGACACTGTTACACCTGTAGACATTGTTAAATCTGTTGCAGCTGTAGGCACTGTTACACCTGTAGGCACTGTTACACCTGTAGACATTGTTAAATCTATTACACCTGTAGACACTGTTACACCTGTAGACACTGTTACACCTGTAGACATTGTTAAATCTGTTACACCTGTAGACACTGTTACACCTGTAGACATTGTTAAATCTGTTACACCTGTAGACAGTTACACCTGTAGGCACTGTTACACCTGTAGACACTGTTACACCTGTAGACTGTTACACCTGTAGACATTGTTAAATCTGTTACACTTGTTGACACTGTTACACCTGTAGACATTGTTAAATCTGTTGCAGCTGTAGACAGTTACACCTGTAGACACTGGTACACCTGTAGACACTGTTACACCTGTAGACATTGTTAAATCTGTTACACCTGTAGACAGTTACACCTGTAGACACTGTTACACCTGTAGACAGTTACACCTGTAGACACTGGTACACCTGTAGACACTGTTACACCTGTAGACAGTTACACCTGTAGACATTGTTAAATCTGTTACACCTGTAGACAGTTACACCTGTAGACATTGTTAAATCTGTTACACCTGTAGACAGTTACACCTGTAGACACAGTTACACCTGTAGACACTGGTACACCTGTAGACACTGTTACACCTGTAGACATTGTTAAATCTGTTACACCTGTAGACATTGTTAAATCTGTTACACCTGTAGACACTGTTACACCTGTAGACACTGATACACCTGTAGACACTGTTACACCTGTAGACACTGTTACACCTGTAGACACTGTTACACCTGTAGACATTGTTAAATCTGTTGCAGCTGTAGACATTGTTAAATCTGTTACACCTGTAGGCACTGTTACACCTGTAGACACTGTTACACCTGTAGAGACTGTTACACCTGTAGACACTGTTACACCTGTAGACACTGACGCACCTGTAGAGACTGTTACACCTGTAGACACTGTTACACCTGTAGACACTGATACACCTGTAGACACTGTTACACCTGTAGACACTGTTACACCTGTAGACACTGTTACACCTGTAGGCACTGTTACACCTGTAGACACTGTTACACCTGTAGACACTGTTACACCTGTAGACACTGATACACCTGTAGGCACTGTTACACCTGTAGACACTGTTACACCTGTAGACACTGTTACACCTGTAGACACTGTTACACCTGTAGACATTGTTAAATCTGTTGCAGCTGTAGTAGATGTAACAGTGTCCACTGGTGCAACATATTTAACAGTGTGTACAGATGTAACAGTGTCTATTTGTGTAACAGTGTCTACAGGTGTAACAGTATAATATATACACACACAAAATATATATACAAAAAAAATAAATATATATATATATATATATACATATATATATATATATATATATATATATATATATATATATATATATAAACATATGTACTCGGCTCAGTTTACAGACCTCTATTAGTAAAACTTTAAAACGTTAATAGAGGACAGAGCCTGTCTGAATGTACAGTCGACTCTGTCCATTATCCATGAATGATTAATTAACTCATGAAGGGAATGAGACATCAAGGATGATCCCTGAGGGAATATTCCTCAATCCAGCAGTTTTGTGAGAGTGAAAGTTGTGACTCCACAGTTTTTCTGACTGCTATTTTTGTCTCTTCCGACAGAATCTCCGGGAGGATCGTTAGACGATCATCGGACGACGGCTCGTGACGCTGAAATGTCATACTGTAAATTCATCTTATTACACTGACCGCTTGCAAACTCCTACACATTGTTATCTGGCTCAGTCAAACACACACACACACACACACACACACACACACAGTCAAATAAAAACATAACAACCAGGTTTTACACACAAACGTCAGTCTGCTGATTTGATTTTAGAGGTTTAGCTTCAGCTCATTCAGATCTCATTCATGTGTCATGCTTGCCGTTTATTTCTTAACAATGGAACAAACAGACGTTTGTCTGTCAAACAACTCGGCCGTCTTTCACGCTTGTACGTAACCTGAGAGAAAGGAGTGGAAAGCGTAGAATATGAAGAATCGTGCACAAGCAGAGTTGCGCACCGTAACTCGATATTATCTCTGTATACTTGATTTGGGTGTAGATTCTTGGATCTCTGTACTATTATCCCCATGCGCATCCGTTCCTGTGTCGTGGGTTGTTGTTTTCTAGCCTTTCTAGTGGCATGCTGTAGTTTCACATGTTGAAGATGTTCTTCTGGCTGTCCGTTCCTGATCACAGACGCCCCTCTTCCACACAGTCCATTTTTATTTCTTATCTTTGTTTATATAAAGAATATATTCTATTTATTTTTGATGATAGTAGATGACACATCTGTGGTAAATTCACCAATGTGGTTTTCCTGTCGTTTAATTTTATTGCCCTCATACATGTTGCATTTTCAAGGTTTGTAACCACATGTAAACTGTTTTTCCTGTTTATTGACAAGAATTTTACAGAATAAACTCATTGGAATGCCAGTGGTGTTCTGTTGTTGTGTGTTTGTCGTAGTGTTCGATTCTAGCTTTAGGGTTAGTTGTGTGATTCTCTCGTCGGGGTGTCATTGTGGTATTAAAGAGCAGGAGATGATTTAGAGTTATTCTATATTCTTTAATAGAGTATTGATTATATCAAGAATAGCGTTAATGAAATGAATGAGAGTTGTGTTGGAGTCAATGAAGGGCCAAACAACACATCATCAATACACACACATTTACACAACACTACAAACTCCTGGAAACAGTCTCTTCACGTATAGCGTTTACTGTAAGTAACGTTTGTGAGACTGTAGATGTGTGTGAGACTGTAGATGTGAGACTGTAGATGTGAGACTGTAGATGTTGTGTTAGTGTGACAAGCCTGAGGCTCAAAATGCTGCTTTACAGGAT